CAATCCCAAGCTCCTTCGCGTTATATGATTGTTAGGGCATCAATTCAGCTTATCGTTTACCAAAACGAACCCTGCTGCAAACCCAACCCAACCCTTTTACCCAACATCCCAGTGATTCCTCGTGGAAGTGCAGAGGTGTTCTCGGCTTCCTTCAAAGCGAGTGTCACGTCAACACATTCCTACCGCTTCCTTTCTTGACCTGTGTTCGGGCGCGGCCGGCGCTGGTATTGCCTAGTTTGAGATCACCAGTTTTTACACATTGAGGATGATTGCTAGTCCCAAGCATCGTCTATTGGTTCTCTGTGTAATTACACGGAGAACATATTCGTTAAGTTAAGATAACAATCCTTATAGTTACTTTCACATGGAAACCTAAAGTTATTCCAACATTAATTTGACCGTCAACTCAATCATATCTCCCTAATAGATTCAACTGTTCATCTTATACTCAATTCAACTATAACTTTGATCAATTATAACAACACTCAAATGTTATTTATTTATATAATTTGGTTTCAATTGATCATCATAAATCCACATACTTTTAACTTGTGATGCGTAGAGCAGGCGATAAGATAGCTGGCTCTCACGCAGATGAACACGGTTCAAATCTAAGTTGAATGTTCTTGTTCACTTTTTTATGATTTTGCAGTTGTGTTTTTGAGATCGATAAAGAAGCAAAACAAACTTCCTTAATATGTCGATAATGAAGAGCAGTTTGTTTAATAAACATTGTAAAATTTTGCTTTCCTAACAATAGTTTTCTTGATTCAACTAAAGCATAGTTGTATTTTGAAGTTTGGCGTTTGTTCATCTACTGAAAAATATAGTTGAGCCAACCGAGGAGCCAACTATGAACTATAGTTGTTGCTATCTATATATAGTCAAATCAACTATAGTTTCGGGTTATCTCTAAAACAATTGAACAATATAGTTATTTTTACCGGAAGAATAATTACGTCTGCTATAATTTGTTCTCCGTGTACAGCTGGTCTGGCAATAACAGAGTAGCAACCGTGGGCGGTCAATCATGCTCATGCTCATGCTCATGCTCATGCTCATGCTCATGCTCAGTCTTGTAACCGGTCACCGTACACAGATAAAAATTCTGAATTTTAATTGTGATGTAAACATTCATTCACGTAAACTTGTATTTCATTTCACGCAACCAAGCAAGGCTCTTTCGTACGACACTTTCGCCGAAGACCGTCACGAATGTATGTATTTTAGTTTTTTCTCATTATGAGAGCTGCTGATGTTGTGCTTGTGTGAATTCTGAAAATTGCAAGCAACGATGTCCTAGTAATAGCGTTTCTAATCAGAAATGGTCAGTGGCGTCGGTGGTGTAGTGGTAAGCGTGATTACCTCTCACCCCAGCAGGCCTGGGTTCAATACCAGTCGGCGCCGCCGGGATGTTCTGAGGCATAACATCTCTGATCACGCCTTCCTTCGGTTGGGAAGTAAAGCCGTTGGTCCCCGGTACATGAGTTGATGGGTCGATCGGTAGGGTCCAGGTGTGGGAGCTGCTTCCCTGGCGTCGGTAGCATTGGTGCTCAGCACGGAAAACAAGATCGACGGAAAACAAATAAAGGAAAACAATATAAGAAATGGTTTAATTTACACCAAATTGAGGAATTGTAACAAAATCACGCATGTCATATGATAGTTATTCAATAATTTTCTTTTTGCTCGAATGTGTTGTGTAAGAGGGATGACGGTAGAGCGTGAGAGTACGAATACAAACAGACTGTCACGCACGACAACGAAGTGAGTGTAGTAAAAAAAACTTCAACCATTTCAACGCCTGCTTATAACTGACAAATGGTGGATAAACTTAAAACTGTTTTGCAGTTATTTTTAATTCTATGAAAAGCTACTTAATTCCTTAAACGAACTCTTGCACTCCGGTTCTTGTTTGCCAATCATTACTTCGTATTTCGTAATTCATATTTACACATATTTTTCTCCAGGCCTTCGTCCCATCAACCTTCCAGAAGTAAACCATTCCCATTCAACCTTTGCGCTCATTTTATGCAAACGATGTAAACAATGCATAAAAAAAGATAGCACGCCAAGGACGCTCCTCCCTGACGTGAAAAATCAGCTGAGAATAAAAATAAGGCAACAAAAAAACCATCCGCTAGACGCAAGAAAGCGGAAGTGAAAATAAAACGACTAAAAAATCCCGCGTCTCGCGGAAAAAACACTCACTTTCCGCTGTAGAGAGAGTTTTTCCGACCGTCTCGCACTCCAGCCCAGGAGGCCCTTTTATGTACAGAGCCAAGTTTTTCTTTCTCCACTCAATGTTTTAATTTATGATTGCAGTCAAGGCTATCAGCTGATGCGGAGTTGGTATTTTTTTCTTCACCGTCTTTACCGCTACGCTGTGTTTGGGTTGCATGCTGGCGTCTTCATTATTTTAATTTTTTCGCCATTTTCTTCCACCCGCGCTAAGGTTTGCTATAGGTAGGTAGGAGGTACCTAAGGATATGACATGACTCGATTGCGTTGGCGAGGAATGGAAGAGTACATTTTTTCCACCTTGTTGTGCTGCTTTTCCAACCTTCTTCTTTTTTAGGCATCGGTTATGGTGTTGAAAGTTGGCAAATGAGCGTGGCTTGAATGCGTTTTCTCCTCAGTTTTACTTTCCGGAGTAGCTCAGCGAAAATCGATAGCGTTGTGACGTCACTGTTTAAATACAAATTAAAGAGAATAGGGTCTAATGAGTTTGCGGGTAGAAAATGTTGCTCGTTTCTTATGTTTTGAATCTTAGTTAGTTGATATATCTCTCTATTATTCTGACCGCCTTTACGATCACAATGAAGCTTTAGTTCAAAATCCATCAGTTTGCTCAGTGCAAGCAGCACAATACCTCTAATGGATTTTCCCGGCCAAGTAGCGAAAAATGGGTGCAAATATTTAGTTTGGTTTTCCGAACGTAACCGCACTTACATCATCCCCCAAAGAAGAAAAAAAAGAAGTGAAATGCTAGCCAATCGTCAATATCTGGCCGCATCCCACAAAAAAAAAGAAAGCAGGGTAAGGGTAACTTAGAAGCTCGGCAAAAAAAATCCACCCTGTTTGTTTGGGTTTGTTCGCCAGCCCGTGAGTATGGTGTTTGCCGAATTCGGTGTCAGCGCCGCCGACCGTATGTAGGGAAAATCTATCCTGGCCAAATGGAGCCATCTTTCCCAACCTATCGCAGAGGTGGTGGTGCGGGAGGAAAATGTAAGTAAATTTCCGCTTTTCGCATCGTCATAGTTTGCGATTGACAATGGAAGAAGGAAATGTTACACTCTTTGACAAACGAAGGCTAGGCGTGCAAATGGAGGGAAGGAGTGGAATATTTGCAAACTATAGACCGGGCGAGGACGCCATCACGTTAATTGAGTGTCCTGAGTTTTTCCTAGGGGAAGATAGCTTGGGTACAGATTTGGATCCAGTTTTTGATTCAGTCGCTGATTGGTAGATTTTTAAGTTTATGATTTTGGTTTTAAATGTGTACAAACATACTGCAGAATGAAGAACCTGTAAAGGAAAATAAAAAGAAGCTAGATGTCCTGCCAAGTAACAATTCAGTAAACATTTAGCATCCACTCTGATTTATGATGGTTTTATAACGGCAATGAACAAATATAGTTTTTCGAAATGTAAAACATTCCTGCTTAGTAATTCAACTTTTTGCTGTTTTAAAAACCTTTTATAGTCTGGCAAGAAAGTCAAAAACTGTCTCATGCATTGAAGTCGGTATCCCACCTTTTCGGCACGTTTTCACCGCTACTGCTACCAAAGCCGCTGCCTTTCTCGCTAAAACGTCGGGAAACAACAGGATCGTTCTCCTCGACGAGGCAAACCGACTCCTCCGCACGGCCGCCGACGTAGATCTCTCTCCAGTGGCCTGGGTCCACTGGCACGGAGACAAATGTTGGCAATCGCACAAGAACAAAATTGACAGCCGAATCAAGGACCGCTTCAGGGCAGGAGACAACTCGCTGGCTTTACACCGGACAGTTGTCGAAACTCTCGGGGCGCACCAAGGTTATGAAGTTAGGTACACCGACGGCTCTCGCTCTCCATGAGCGGAGTGGGAATGGGGGTCTCCGGATATGGTCTGCTTGTGAGTAGATCGCTTCCGATCCAATGCTCGGTGTTCTCAGCTGAGGCAGCGGCCATTCTCCACGTGATTAAGTTACCGGCCAACCGGCCGATATTAGTCGTAACTGACTCACACAGCGTGATATTGGCCCTAACAACAGAAAAACCGAAGCATCCGTGGATCCAAGGGACAGAAAAGCATGCGCCGCCCAACAATGTATTCATGTGGGTACCCGGTCACTGCGGGATTCAAGGGAACGTAACAACCGATCACCTTGCCGGCTCAGGCCACAGTGGACCCAGGTCCACTGGCAAAGTACCGCTCCAAGATGTCAAAAAGTGGATCAAGCAGACGGTTTGGAGAGCTTGGGACACCGAGTGGAGTAACAACAGGACACACCACCTGTTGCGGATCTTGATACTCACTTAATCATGTAATTAGAATTTTTTGCATGTGAAATTAAACACAGTTGAACATTTGAATTAGCTTGTAAATCCGTTGAGCCCACTGTACTCTATTATAACAAAACTGTTATACTTACCTTACCTTTGTATTTACCTTACCTTGGTACACGATCGCTGAAATGAAACACGAAACACACACACACACGAATACTTACCTAACACGACATATACGGAGAGAGAATAAATGAAAATAATAATTGAAAAGTACATCAAGCAAACCACACGCATTTTTTCATCGACTGCCCGAAAAGTGTCTATTACACCCAGACCACCGGTTTGTCTCCTGTTCCGTTCGCCGGTATAGTCGTTGGCCACCAAACTCAGCAAGATCCACCACATTATTTGGTGCCGAAACCCACACCCACAACGCTGAGGGACACTATGTGATCCGTCTACCAGTTCGCCAAGAGATGTTACCTCTCATCGGGGAGACATGGCCAATGGCCGCTCGACGATTCACCACTGTGGAGAAACGCTTTCGGACCGATGATGCTCTTCGTACAAGCTACGTGCAGTTCATGGACGAGTACCAACAACTTGGCTATATGCAGGAGGTGAAGACGCGCGTCGCGTTGCCCCAGTTTTTCTTGCCCCATCACGCAATTCATCGTCCCGATTCGTCAACAACCAAGATAAGAGTCGTGTACGATGGCTCGGCCAAAAGCAGCAACCAGCTCTCCTTGAACGACCTTATGTTAACAGGACTAACAGTTCAGCCTTCAATGTTGTGTATCGTCATCAACTCTCGTTTCCACCGATTTGTCATGAAAGCAGACGTGGAGAAAATGTATTGTCAGGCTTTGGTTCATCCGGACGATCGACTACTACAGCAAGTTGCTTGGCGCAGAAAGGAGTCAGAGCCACTGAAAACCTACTGTTCAAACACCATCACCTACGGCACATCTTGTGCTCCATATCTGGGAACCCGGGTCCTAAATCAGTTAGCTGACGATGAAGGGCATGACTTTCCACTGGCTGCCTTCATTGACAAGAAGGACTTTTATGTTGACGATGTCTTAACCGGAGCCGACAGCATCGAAACACTAGTCAACACAAGCACCCAACTGGACGACCTCCTAAAGAGAGGTGGTTTCAATCTGCGCAAGTGGAGCGCGAACCATCCTAGTATCCTGGAACACTTTCCAGACGAACTCAAGGAGAATCAACCGTATCTAGAGCTTGATCACACCTCATCCATCAAAACACTTGGTCTCTTATGGTCCCCGGAAAACGACGATTTTGCGTTCAAAGTTCCTGATCTTCCACAACTACAACGAGTTACCATACGCATTGTCCTGTCGGAGATGTCGCAGCTTTTTGACCCTTTGGGTCTCATCGGTCCAGTAGTCGCCAGTGCGAAGATGTTCGTTCAGCGTCTATGGCAGGAGCAACTGAATTGGGACGATGGACTTCCGGAGACTCTTCAATCTTGGTGGCTGTCCTTTCGAGAATCGGTCGGTGTCATCCGAGATCTTCGTTTACCACGATGCACAGATCAAGAAAGCAGTGTAAATTCCTGTTCAATATGATGCACATAAATGGAGCGTCACATATCATAGATGTTTACATTATAAATCGTGTAAAGTTGTGATACAATTCATGAAAAGTTGCAAATATTGTATACAAAAGCCCATCTTTGTAAACAACATTGCTTACAAGTTGCTCCTTTGCGTAAAATGAAATACAAGTTTACGTGGATGAATGTTTACATCACAATTAAAATTCAGAATTTTTTGCTGTGTTGGTATTCAGAGATGATGCAGTAAGGTACGAGCTGCACTGCTTTGTCGACGCTTCTTCGAAAGGATACGGAGCATGTATCTACGCATTATCGCAAGGGCCGACTGCTACGCGAACAAGCAATCTCCTCATAGCGAAATCCCGGGTCGCTCCAATCAGCGGCTATTCCACGCCACGCTTGGAACTCTGAGCAGCTGTTCTGGGAAGTCAGTTGGCTGACAGCATCCGTAAAACCACTAAGTTTAACGCCAAAATCACCTTCTGGTTGGACTCGACGATCGTTTTGCACTGGATCAACTCCCCGCCGTCCTCGTGGAAAATATTCGTATCCAATCGAATAGCAGAGGTCCTCAAAACCACAGAAGGCTCCCAATGGCGGCACGTTCCAACGCTGCAAAACCCTTCCGATCGAATTTCTCGCGGAGTTCATCCCGAAGACATCAGCGATGATGCACTTTGGTGGCATGGGCCACCATACCTGCTCTCAGGTCCAGAAGCCTGGCCAGATCCAATAGTACCATTAACCTCGACCGACATCCAACAACAAATTGTCGAGCAGCGGCCGACGGTCGCACTCGTTTGTGTCACGTTCGACGATTCGCTCATCCAGGACTTTTCCCAACTGTCTCATCTTCTTAAGATTGCTTCGTACTGCCTTCGTTTCGCGAAGAACTGCCAATTGCCGAGCCATGCTCGAACTTTCGGGCGAATCACACCGATCGAGTACAACAATGCCCTCAAATCTCTCATTCGAGTTGCACAAGGAGCAACCTTCCATCAGGAATTGCGATATTTACATAACCACGTCCAAGAGTCTCTTGCTCTGCGAAAAGCAGACTTTAAGTCTCCGCTCAAGGACATTAACGTGCATCGATGACGCAGGGCTTCTGCGTTTGAACGGCCGCCTAGCGCAATCACCTGGCACCTTCGACAGTCGCTTTCCGATCCTGTTACCTGCCGATCATCATCTCTCAAAGTTGATTGCCAGTTCAATTCATCATCAAACTCTGCACGCTGGACCAACACAACTGCTCGCAACCATCAAGCAGCGTTTCTGGCCGATCCGTGGTAGAGACCTCGCTCGAAGAACAGTCCATCGTTGCGTGACGTGTTTCCGTTGTCGTCCGAAAGCAAGCAATCAATATATGGCGCCATTACCTGCTGCGCGCATTACACCATCTAAAGTCTTCGAACACACGGGGCTGGATTACTGCGGGCCGTTTCTCGTTCGTCAACTTGCGGGAAGGGGCGCTTCGGTCAAAGTCTGAGTCGCAGTGTACGTGTGCTTCGCCTTCAAAGCCATTGTGCTGGACATCGTCGCCGGGATGCCAGCTGCTGCGTGCGTCAATTCGTTGAGGCGCTTTGTGAGTCGCGTTGGTCGCGTTCGCGTTATACATTGCGACAACAGCACCTCGTTCGTCGGCGCGTTCCGCGAGATAAAGGAGATGCGACAGCAACTCGTCCAGCAGCTGAAGTCCAACAAATGGGCTAACGAGTGCCTGAAAAAGGGCATCGAGTTCCAGTTTATTCCCCCGAGAGCACCGCATTGTGGTGGGCTGTGGGAAGCTGCGGTGAAGAGCTTCAAGCACCATCTCGTCAGGATCATCGGCTCATCACCTTACCACTTTGACGATTTTCGCACGACTGTCGCTCAGGCGGAAAGCATCATGAATTCCCGTCCTTTAACTCCACTTTCCAATCATCCTGAAGACCTCTCCGTGCTCACTCCTGCCCATTTCCTGCTGGGTGAACCAGCCATCTGGCTTCCCAAGCCAGACTACTCAAGCATTCCCGCTTCCAGACGACACAGCGAGCCATGAACGACTTGTGGAAGCGCTGGTCTAAAGAGTACATCGGCCTGCTGCATCAGCGTCCAGCTAAGTGGAGGAAGATCCCTACCGACTTCGGGGTCGGTGCTATGGTTGTGTTGAAGACCGACAACGCTCCACCCAAACATTGGCCTCTCGGACGCGTTGTAGCAGTCTACCCAAACAAGGACAACATAATACGGGTAGTGAATGTCCGCACTCAAGCCGGAATTCGTCGTCGTGCAACAACAGAGCTGTGTCTGCTACCGATTGATGACATCCCAGGTAACACAGCAGCAGGGTCGACTGATTCAACTCACTTCTTTATCTTCTGTCGGTTGAATGCTGCGCTTCAATGGGGGCCGAGATGTTGCGGATCTTGATACTCACTTGATCATGTAATTAGAATTCTTTGCATGTGAAATTAAACACAGTTGAACATTTGAATTAGCTAGTAAATCCGTTGAGCCCACTGTACTCTATTATAACAAAACTTTTATACTTACCTTACCTTTGTATTTACCTTACCTTGGTACACGATCGCTGAAATGAAACACGAAACACACACACATACGAATACTTACCTATCACGACATATACGGAGAGAGAATAAATGAAAATCAGAATTGAAAAGTACATCAAGCAAACCACACGCATTTTTTCATCGACTGCCCGAAAAGTGTCTATTACACCCAGACCACCGATTTGTCTCCTGTTCCGTTCGCCGGTATAGTCGTTGGCCACCAAACTCGGCAAGATCCACCACACCACCTTCGGAAGATCAAGGTGTCCACCGGAACCTGGAAGGATCGACCAAACCTAGGAGAACAAAGAGTGGTGTCAAGGCTGCGCACCGGGTACAGTAGCGTGTCCCACAACTTCGGAGGAACACCGTTCCGGAGGACCTGCGAAACCTGCGGAGTGCCAGCCACCGTGGAGCACATCCTCGTGAACTGCGCGGAGCTGGAGGACCTTCGGGCTGCCTTCAGCTTGGAGTCAATCAGCATTCGGAACCTGTTGGGCGACGAGTCCCCGGCAGCAGCCACCCTCATCACCTTCCTACAGAATGCGAACCTTTACAACAATATCTAAGTGTTCCTTGTTTGTATTTCCAGTTTGTTGGCCCTTTTGGCAGTTTTCTACACCTTTTCATTCTAGCAAGATAAATGTACCACAGCCAAGATTAGGAATCTCCTTATGAGAACCTAATTTTTTTTCTATTTTTTTACTATCTTAAGAGATGAACTAGCCTTATGGCTAAAAATCTCTATAATAAACACAGTTCGATAAAGTAGTGTAAATTTCTGTTCAATATGATGCACATAAATGGAGCGTCACATATCATATAAGTTTACATTATAAATCGTGTAAAGTTCTGAGACATTTCATGAAATGTTGCAAATATTGTATACAAAAGCCCATATTTGTAAACAACATTGCTTACAAGTTGCTCGTTTGCGTGAAATGAAATACAAGTTTACGTAAATGAATGTTTACATCGCAATCACAAATATAAAAGCAGCCATAACACTATTAGGTTTTGCCTTAGAGCAAAAAACATTTATTGCTACTTTTTTGAGCTTTTTAAAGTGCATCATAAACTCCTCAATTACTATGATTACAAATTGAGCTTGAACGATGGTCATTCCTCAAGGAAATCTCGAAGGATAGACGAAGTTGGATGAAACATTCAAGTAAATTTCAGCAAAAAAATTAATTAGAAGAACCAGCACCAGTCTTGTAAGCGGTCACCGTAGTCGACACATTTTCTGTGATAATCGACTGCCTTTGCTTTCGACACTTGCAAAACAAGATATCGAATAACAGTACCAAACTAAAATGTCATATGACAGGCTCTGTCATACGACACTGTCGTCGGAGACCGTCATGAATGTATGTATTTTAGTTTTTCTCATAATAAGAGCTGCTGATGTTGTGCTTGTGTGAATTCTGAAAATAGCAAGCAACGATGTCCTAGTAAAAGCATTTCTGATCAGAAATGGTTTAATTTACACCAAATTAAGGAATAAGAACGAAATCACACATGTCATATGATAGTTATTTGATGATTTTCTTTTTGCTCGAATGTTGTTCTACCGTTTGTGTTGTGTAAGAGAGACGACGGTAGAGTACGAGAGTACGAATACAAACAGACTGTCGCGCGCGACAACGAAGCGAGTGTAGTAAAACACGTCAACAGTTTCAACCCCTGACCAGCACACCATCAACGACCGACCATCTGGCAGAGAAGAGTAAAGTGAGTGTGGCCCTCGAATTCATAAAATATACCAACCTTCTGCGAATAGATGACAATTGAAATAACAGCCCACAGCAAACCACTGAAACTGCACAGATAAAAATTCTGAATTTGAATTATGATGTAAACATTCATTCACGTAGACTTGTACTTCATTTCACACAACCGAGCAACTTGCAAACAATGTTGTTTACAAATATGAGCTTTTGTATACAATATTTGCTACATTGCATGAAATGTCTCAGAACTTGACATGATTTATAATGTAAACTTACATATATGATATGTGACGCTCCATTTATGTGCATCATATTGAACAGAAATTTACACTACTTTTTCGAACTGTGTGATAGTTAGTGGAGATTAGCTGGTTTCCGATCCATAGCAGCGATTTTATTCGGCGAAATAATCAACTCTTCAACAATTTCATTCAAGCGTGCATCCCTGCATCGTGGGATGGTGCATTTATGTAACCATCCGGAAGAAGCGGATCTTTATCGGGAACGATTGCGCTTCCAGCTGTTCGAAATGCGAAATGTCGTAAAACAGTATCGCAAACAACACAGCAAAAACATAATTTTAATATCACATCAACGTGTATGCACTTCAATCGTGTCGAAAATATGGTGTAATAATACTTGCCAAAAAGGACAAAATTACCATTAATACAGTGCATGAACTGACATTACGCTTCTTTTACTGCATTTTTTTATTGTTGTGGCCATAAAAATTACATGAGATTTTCGACATGATTAAAGTGCATCCTCTTGGATGTAATATTAAAATTTATTTGTTGCTGTGTATCTGAGTAACTGCTCCCAAGGCATCGGGAGAAACCGCCAGGAAGAACCCTGGATCCAACAGTGCAACTATTGAAAGATAAACAAACTTTGACGTTTAACTTTTTGCAGGCAACTTTGCCTCCATAAATGCTGCCATAAATCTAAACGGGTTAGGATCAAGCAAAATGGCTGTAGATAGATACAATTCAGCCTGCAAGTTGTCTTCGTAAAAGCCATTTTTAAATCTTATGAATTTGTTAAGGATTTCTTGAAAGCAAAACAACTTTTGCACAAATGACCCATGAAAATCAACTTTTATCCCACCGCCATGTTACAATTAGTTTGCTTGTTTTTTTACAATCTTCGATTTTCAATCTATATTTCCTTGGATATAACTATATTTTGGTAAATTTAGCAATGAGCAAACATTTAAGTGCGAAAATCACAAAAAACATCTCGGCCAAGCTCACCCGAAGATTTTTTTTTCCAAGGTAAAATATTTAGTCACATTGACGTTTAACGAGCTTACTTACTTAAGGGTCCTGTGCACCACCAGCGGTGCAAAAGGCCAACGTGAAAGACTTCCATCCTGGTCGGCTGCTCACTTTTGCCTTGACCTGGGCCCAGGTCAGATTCCTATCGACTTGCTTAATTTCCTTATTGAAGCTCCGCCGCCATGAGCCCTTGGGTCTGCCTCTGCTGCGATGTCCTGCCGGATTCCAATCCAGCGCTTGCTTGCAGATTTCGTTTCCGCCCCGTCGAAGTGTGTGGCCGACCCACCTCCACTTTCGCTCTCGAATTTCTGTTGCTATCGGCTTCTGATTACATCGACGATGGAGCTCGGCATTTTAGATCCAGTTGTGAGGCCACCAGGCACGAATTATATACCGCAGACATCGGTTGATGAATACCTGCACTTTTGAGTGTTCTCCACTGATACACACGACATCTCGCTGGCGTATAACAACACAGATTTCACGTTCGAGTTGAAAATTCGGATTTTGGTGCGTTGACTTATCTGGTTGGATCTCCATACGTTTCGTAAACTCGCAAAGGCAGCCCTAGCCTTCTTGATTTGTGCACCTATGTCGCTCTTAGTCCCGCCGTCCGACGCTATTTGGCTGCCAAGATATTGGAAACTTTCGACCTTCCCCACTGCTTGCCCCGCTACCGTAAAGTTGGAAGGGTTGCCCGTGTTGATATCCAACGATTTGGTCTTGTTGACGTTGATGGTGAGACCCGCCGCAGAGGAGCGTTCGGCTAGGTCATTGAGCTTACTCTGCATATCAGAGCGCCGTTGTGCTAGTAGAGCAACATCATCAGCCAAATCAAAGTCGTTGAGATGCTCCATGGTGATAAGCTGCCAAAGCAGCCCACGGTTCGGTACACGCCCAAGTAACCAAAAGTTTCGCATTCAACGATTAAAATCACTTCCAAGTTCCATAAAGTTCAAATAAAGTTCCAACTGAACCTTCAAGTTCCATAAAGTTCAAATAAAGTTCCGACAGAACTTTCAAGTTCCATAAAGTACAAATAAAGTTCCGACAGAACTTTCAAGCCACATGAAGCAATCCGCACAAGTCTTTATTAGTAACAAAATTTAATGTACGTATTAAATGATCAGTGGCCCGAATAAATCATAATTCTTTTATTTATGCAGTGCATCAACATTCTATCGAAACATAAAAATAATAATTAAAAAGTAATTTCCTGGATTCGAACCCGCGTATTCGTCATACGATCTACAAACGCTAACCACTGGGCCACAAATGTGTTGGAATTCCATGCGGGCAAATACCAATTTAAAATTCATCAAGGTGTTGTGTTTTGTATTCAAGTCAGTCAGCTGGCACTGAAAACTCCAACAGTAGGCGGGACAACAGCTCATTTTTTTATATCTCAGATGATGCAGCGGTTCGTGCTGGGACTCTCACGCAGAAGGACTGGGTTTAATTCTTCAAACAGCTCCAATT